GAGTGGCTAGAAAGCTGCCTGTCAGAAAAGGACCTGGGGCTGTTCGTCGACAGCAGGATAAGTATTAGCCAGCAGTGTGCCCAGGTGGCCCAGAAGACCAACAGCATCCTGACTTATATCAGAAATAGTGTGGCCAGCAGGAGTAGGGAAGTGATTGTGCCCCTGTACTCAGCACTGGTGAGGCCACACTTCAAATACTGTGTTCAGTTTTGGGCCCCTCACTGCGACAAGGACATTGAGGTGCTGGAGCGTGTCCAGAGAAGGGCAGTGAAGCTGGTGAAGTGTTTGGAGCACAAGTCTTATGAGGAGCAGCTGGCGGAATGGGGCTTGTTTCGTCTGGAGAAAAGGAGACTCAGGGGAGACCTTATCGCTCTCCACAACTACCTGAAAGGAGGTTGTAGTGAGGGGAGTGTCGATCTCTACTGCCAAGCAACAAATGATGGGACAAGAGGAAATAGCCTCAAGTTGCACCAGGAGAGGTTTAGTTTGGATATTAGGAAAAATTTCTTTACAGAAAGGGTTGTCAAGCACTGGAACAGGCTGCCCAGGGAAGTGGTTGAGTCACCATCCCTGGAGGTATTTAAAAGACATGTAGACGTGGTGCTTAGGGACATGGTTTAGTGGTGGACTTGGCAGTGCTAGGTTTATGGTTGGACTTGATGCTCTTAAAGGTCTTTTTCAACCTAAATGATTCTATGAGAAGAAAACTGTTTCCCTCATAAAGCGAGAGCTTAGGAAGTTAGGTCATATTTCCCAGATTCTTCCTGCTGCTCTCTGAGGGCATACCCTTTCTTAACCCTGCCTTGAGGATGCTTGGCTGTATCAAAAGACTTAACTTCAGTCACTCTGATTCATTTCCTTCCAAATTATATTATTATAGTCTCTAGTAAACAAACAAGCTCTGTAAAGCATTATTTTTCTTTAAAAAAAAAAAAAAGTTAATGGGATCTTAGACAAAACTAAGCCAATCCATATGCATGCCTGTTGTTCCCTGAGATTTATTGTTCCCTGGGTCTGGTGACTCTATTGGCCTGTCTTCCTGACAACTGCCTTTCCTGCTCTCTCAAGAAAGACTTTTTATTTTATAATTAGTCATTTTAACTTAAAAATGTTGTCTTTCAGAAATAGGATCTTCATTTTTCCTGGAGATAGGATATATGATCCTCAAGGCTTGCAGTTTTTTCCCATTGTCTAATAATTGCCTTTAGAAGTGCCTTGGTTAGCACCAAGGTTAGATCTGTTGTGTTGATTCCTGGCTCGGCGTTTCCCACAGTTCTCTAAGCTATTGTGATGTCGAAACAAATTCTCATGACTGCTGTATAATAATTTTGCATTGTGGCCAGATGATATGCAGTGTTTATAAGACTGTTGAGTATTAACATTTTATTTATTGCCTAGCTATCTATACATATATGCAAGAATTTGGAGTCTGTAGGGAGCAAGTACTCTATGCATTATACAAGTGAGAACGGGTGTAAAAATAAAAAAGGGAAGAGAATGCAAAAGTGGGCTGAGAGCAGTGGTGAACTGGATGGGTAAAATGTGGTCATTGACTGTACACAAACAAAAAATTGTACGCAAAGACTTGTAAAGAAAGGGTGAAAGGTTAGAATTAAAGAATAATAAAAATGCTGGATAACCTTTTCTTTGATGATTAGATATGTTCCACTTAAAGCTGAATGGGGGAATTGCAATCTTCCATTGTTTTGGATTCACAGTGAAGAGTTGTGTTGCTTTTATCGCTGTCCTGGAAGACAGATTTCAGATGTAGACAGAAATAGTATGGGAAGTATGGAGGTTTTTCTTGCCAAAGCTAGGTTTCTCTTCAGGGACTGCCAAATTTTTAGATTTCTTTTTAGTTTGTGAATCTTTGTTTTAATGCAGAAACAGTGCCTTATCAATTTAAGGTATTATTTGTTCTACTCAGTGCAGGGGTAACTGCCTATTCAGCTTTTTGGAAGGTAGGACACTGGACTATTCCACAAGGCCGCTGAGCAAGCCTGACTGCTTATATACATTTCAGACAGATATTAAGCATTTGTGGTTAGATTTGTTTTTCTTTGGTTATGTAGTTCTGTTTCAGTCGAGCTGCAGTGCAAGAAAATGACATAAATGTTACATATGCGTAATTTATCTTATGGGAATTCTGATTTTTTTTTTAAGTACAGTTGCTACTGTAAATTAACTTTTAGAAACAATGAACTTAAGGGAAAACTGAGGAATGTGTCTTGTGTTTTATAATGGGACATTTGTGCTTGATTCTGTGCAGTTATAAATGACTCTACTGTTCAGCACTGTTTAAGAAAATGGAGCTCAGAGATTTGGTTGTTGAAAAGATGATTTATTACAGGGCATAAGGATTTTAAAAACAATTCTTTCACTTATCCTCGGCCTTCAGGAGCAACAAACTTTTTCCTTTTGGCTTCAGTTCTTTGATCAAGAATAGGTCTACTCATGCAAGCTTGTTGAAGCCTAAAAGCCATGCATTTATTTCTGTCTGAAAAACATTGGCTTGACTTGATCTTTGAAAATATATATGCTATATAAATAAATACTGGGATAAATAAAGTCTCCTATTGAAGTAGGAGTGCTATACTTGACAATGCAAGGGACACTCCTGTTTGACTTGGGGTGCTTTGACATTGTGCAATGTTAAGAACTTGAATTGTCCTCCAGTCTGAGTTCTTGTCCTGCCTATGTTCTAAGCTGGTGGCTGCCCATCTGAACATGGCCCTGGGAAGTCCTTTCTTGGAGAGTTTTCATTGTCAGAAAACTTGAGCTAAAGAAATTAAAACCAAACTATTCAAAAAGCTAATTTAGGTCAAGTTGAAGAGAGTAATTTAAACTTCCTTTGTAAATCAGACATTTCATCTGATTATTACTCAGCTTAAGCTAGGATAAATTTGATGGAATAATGTAAACAAATAATTTTCAATTCCTAGATTAAACTGTCACATGCAAACCATTTTTAAGTGTCATTCTGTAACTTCTTCAGTTCTGGCCTCCATCTTTCACCATCTTCAGTTCTGGGAACTAAGATTCATTTCTTTATCTGAACTGAGGAGAAGGAAGTATTTCCTATATTTAAAGTTATTTGGGTAATAAAAATTTAAATTTGATTATTCAAACCCTGAGGATATATGCTCAGTCCAGGGGCAGTTTTGTCTTGGAACTATTTCTTCTTATATGTGTTTTTTTCACTTTTTTTAAACAAAGGAGATGTTGAGATGAAACTGCTTTGGACTTCCACAGGTGTTTTCTCATTTGTGATCTTGTCTGTCACACTGTCTATCCGCAGTGACTGATACCCACGCATTGTATTGTTTCTCAGAAGTCTATGATTCCTTTAAATATATAAACAGTCAGAGAGAATTTACTTTTTTTTTTTTAAACTGATAGATTTGGTTATCATATTTGTTTTTTTGTTCTCCAGCTTTTGGAAATGCCAAAACTGTGAGGAATGACAACTCCTCTAGATTTGTAAGTATTTTCTTCAAGGCTGAATTTGAATATCTTTTAGGGGAGCATGTTATGTTGTTGGCTGTTTATGTATTACCTTGTAGCAGCCATCAAGGCATCTGTAAGGCAGGAATGAATAATTTGGAGAAAGAACCTTCTTGTAGTTGTCTGGGGACCATGATGTTCAGGGAGGGCAAACACCTTCAGTAGCAATCAATATTTCATTTCGTACATTTGAGCATGTTTTCCTTCCCCAGTGTGTTAGTAGTGCGTTATTAACAATCACTGCTGTTTTTAAAAGATGTTTCATCTCGTCACAAATCTTGTTTTCTGACGTGGGTATAGAGTTCTATGGAGAATCAAAGTAGAGGTTAAAAAAAAAAAAAAATTAGGATGTGACAGTCTGTGACCGGATGAAAACATAATTACAGTGCAGCTGGATTCTTTAATTTTCTGGCACTGGTGGCTTTAATGTCAGTGACCATGTGCCTAGCAACTGGTCTGCTTAGCAAGTTGACCTTTCTGCATGATCTCATTTTCCATCTATATGTGTACATTTTTTTGTTAAATTTCTACTTCAGTTTCTCATGTTCTCTCTATGATGGGAGTTTCAACCTGTGTTTACTACTTTAGTTTTAATATAAGCATTTGTTACTTTTTTGCTTGTATTCTGTATAATCAACTGATTGAAATTTGGGGGATTTAGCATGAAACTGAATGTGAAATTATAGACATTGACAATTCCCTCCCTCAAAAAAAAAAAAAAAAATTGAAACTAGAGTTGGGAGATTCAGAAGTGTGACTATTTATCACTATTTATCACTATCGTGCTAAAATCAGAAGACTGAATGCAACTTTGTAATTTGCTCACTTTTGTGCAGAAGAGTAATATAAACTGAAACAGAAGACAAATTAGTAGACTGGAAAAATGGTGTGTTGCGAGTAAAAGCACATGGATAAAACCTGGGATATGGGAACACTGGAGAGCACCCTTTTTTCCATATGGGAGACTTCTCTCCCCTTCTCTTCTGATTCTCAAGGGTTGATGATACTGTTTCCACGCAGCTACGAATGCTTCATTGCCCCAGCTTGTGAACAGAGCAAAGGGTCTTCATTGCAGGCCCTGCAGGCTCCACAAATGTCCATGCAAGCAAGGTCAGGGCCAAAATGTGAGGCGCTGTAGAAATTTATTTTTTTTATAGAAAGGGTAGAAAAACTGCAGCTGTTGGAGATGACGTACTACAGAAGGGAGGAGGAGAGAGCGAAGAGGAGAAGAGGTGCCGTTTGCAAACAGAAGTCTTTCCAGGACAAAGTGCAACCAACCAGTATTTTGCCTTTCAAGTCCTTGCTTATAAACACAAAGCTAAAAATACTTTTGGAAACAGCCAGCTGGCTCAGTCCTTGGGAAATTAAAATTTAATTATCTCATTTAATTCTTTATCTCAGAAATTTGAATCAGCTCAGAATTGACTTCAAACAAGAAAGTACAAGTACTGTCCTGTCTAGCCTGTCTCAGCTGCCAACAAGGAGAAGAATAGAGTTTAAGTAGAGTCAAGCCAATCTTGACAAAATACCCAGTAAATTAGAAAATATCTTTGAGGGAGTCAATGTAAAGTGCTTGCTTTTTATGTTCTGTAATTAAAATCAAAAGAGAAAGAAAAAAAAGAAAACTCTTCCTAAATGCAGTAAATAAGGAAGTATAAACACCAGATTTCTCTTTTCAGTAGGTTGGTTTTGTCGTCTGTTAAGTAAGCACCAGAGGGTGGTGAGATCATTTCTGTGCATGGCTTGTTTTTATCTTTCTAAACTTCCTTGCCAATGTGAGCTGCACTGCTTTTGCCTTTTCCACACAGTATGTGTCTGTCCATTTTGATGTAGCTGTTACTACATTAAATACGTGTCATATAAATTAAAATGATGCAAGGACTGGAGCGATCTTCTGCGATGTGGAAAAGTCAAATAGAAGTCAAGGAAACACACTGTGCCAGTACAGCTAAAAATGAAATTGCTTTTGTGGTGACAGTCTGTTAATTGTTGCCTCTGGCCTCCTGAGTTATGAGGCAAAGAGTTCAGTGGGAAAAATCCATCACTTTTACAAGGCCGGCACACACTTAGGGACAGACACCCCACAATTACTAACAGTAACTGTTGCCAGCCAGTACTTCAAGCCAAACCGAGCAGCCATCCTTCAACTGCCTTGATTCACGCGCCGAGAAGATTTTACACTGAGAAGATAAGTCTGTGTGGAAAATAATTACTTCCTGCGTTCTTCCATTAATAAGCATGGTAATACCTACATGGCCACAAGTATTATTTGATGTTCTTGGTGTTCTGGTGAAAGTTTGTATAATGTACTTTTTCTTCATATAACCTTAGAAATTGAGCAAATTACTGAGTTATGTTACAAACCTTATTAAAGTTATTCTCATGAAAATATCTAGCTGTGATAATGCAATTATTTTAGAAGCTTTGAATTGTTTTCTGATATTCAGAATTTGACAGAATGTACAGGAGGTTGCCAGATTGCCTGTAAAAATTAATAATTAACTTCTTAAAAAAATGTCTTGAGCATTTTCTCTTAAACAGAACTTACAGTCTTAAAATACATTGCTTTCTCAGGGAAAATACATGGATATTGAGTTTGATTTCAAGGGTGACCCACTTGGAGGAGTTATAAGCAACTGTGAGTATTACTCTTGGTATCAGCATATTAACAGCCTAAAATGTTATTTAGCTGTTATTAACAGCTAAAAAGGAAGATGGCTGAATTATTGAAAAGATCAGATGCGTTTGTCTAATTTAATCTGTCTCCATTATGTGATAAATTCTGCTTTTTAATTTTATTGTTGTTCTGGTGCTGAATAGTGTACCTTAGAGTAAGTGAAAACAGACTTGAAGTAAGCATGAATAATGAATGTACTATATTGTCTAAAAGGTACTGAGTCTGAGTAACATGCGTGGGTTCATATATTGTCTCTGAAGCTGGTAGCAGATGGATAAGGGTATCTGAGGCTCTTTTTATACTTGAATCCCCAGGATCAGTTGTGTTACTTGATTTGATGCGTCATGTATTTATGGTAGATGATGCCTGAGATACGCTGTTTTGTAATTCATAAGAGTGGTTCAAAGTATGCTGGAGAACACCACGAGGTGGGTATGTTTATTTGGAATCAAATCAGCAATTCAGAAATTTTAACCAGCTCTCTGTTGGGAAGAAAGAGGCTGGGAACTGAATGCCAGCCCAGGATGCTTTGACTTGCTTTCCTTTCGAGAGTTTAAATGCAGCTTTTAAAAGAAATTGCTCTTCTGTGCTATATAAAGCTATGTTTGTTTGGGTTTTTTCCTTATTTTTGAAAAGAGATGGAGGAGGGCAGTGAGTGACTATAGTAGGTGTCACTGACCTAGCCTTGACCTCTCTTCCCGCTCAACCAAATTCATTGCTGTTTCTAAAGACCGGCTTTTGACTCCATTGGCATTTTACTGGTTGTGAAATAATGAGTATCGTCCAAGGTGAACTGAACTCCCCATATACAATATAAACATTTTACAACATTGTGAAGAATTTTACACATAAATGTAGGTTTTGGTTTTTTCATAGGGCAAACATTTTTTCTGGACCAGGTCACCTTTTGGAACTGTGCTTGAAAGAGCATGATTTTTGTGACGAGTACATCTTGAAACTCAAAGCAGTCACTGTTTAAGTGTTTATGGCTATCTATTAATTTTGACATTTGGCAGTCCACAAAATTAGAGGCCAAACATACTCGGTGTATTCATAAATAATTAAATGTGAACGAAAAGGTACTAGCAGGCTAGCTGTGTTGTTTGTTCCCTTTTCTTTCACATTCAAAATAGATACACAAAATGAACCCTCCTTTGTAGAGTGGACATTGAACAGTTTGTCTTTGAAAGTACTGTGCTGAGTCATCTAGTTAAAATATTGTGTCACATCAAAAGGTGATCCAAATAGTTACTCTATAGGTTATCTGCCTTATAAATCTTTGCATGTTGTAATTATAACATTACATGTAATTATAATGATGTAATGACATATGTAATGAAGGGTAAACATATTTTTATATCTTCCTAAAAGTTGCCTATTGTAGACATTCTCTCTGTCTTCTCACATTTAATACATATCTAATAACAAGAAGGTGAATTTAAATTTAAAAATGAAGACCTTATGTGTAAATCCTGTTGTGGAAAAGATGTTACTTTTTGAACTATGAAACACCCCATACTTGACAGGGTATGTCACAGGTAAATACTGAGTTCCTGTAGCTTCATGTTAATATATCTCATCTTTGATCTAATATTTGCAAAATTTGATAGCCCTTACATCTCTCTTTGAAAGAAAGTTTGAATTCTGTACAGTTTTAAAGGAAGTTTGTTGTCCTGCCTTAGATGTTTTCCACACATCTGCAGCATTGCATTGCGACAGGAAAGTTTCTGTTGTGTGGTGTCGCCATTCTGGAGGTATCAGGGGCTTAAATTCTTTTACAAGTAAACTTGCAATTTACTCTGGCTTTAGTCAAATTTAGGATTTGCCATATTAATTCATCAAGTAGCAAGTCAAATAGTGCTGAAGTTTCCTATCCTTAAAAGGAAAGCATGATTGGTTTGTTCATAAATATTCTTTGCTTTCTGACCATCTGTTTGTTCAGTGTTAACATGATGTGAAGATGATATCATAATATTTTGATTAAACTTTAATAGTCATATCTGAGCTTTATTTCCAAACATCAACGAAGTTAGTGGGGTTTTTGGATAGCAGCATATGTTACCAGGCTGTATTTCACACTGTGAGTGGCTAGAAGCTGACACGGTCAACATCTAGTTTATTTTGGTGGCAAGAAAGGTAATGAAGGTAAGCTACTAATTTTACCAGACTGGTAAAGATAAGCAGAGATCCATTAGGCTGAAAGGTCTTGTTTGAAATGGTTTGGTCTGTCCTACTCTGAAAAGCTGTGAAGCTCCGTGAAAGCCTTCTCAATCTACCCACAACCCTTCAGGTAGCGGCTGATGCTGTTGTGACCTTTCCTTGGGCCATTATCCTGGTGCCCTTCAATGAGCTCTTACTTCTTAATAACAGGTACTCACCTACAAGTGAACCTTTCACAGGATGGAGCTAGAGGGTAAAATTATCATGACAATACATACTGCATGTCTGTCCTGTTCAGTTTGCAGTGAATGCAAATGTCATTTGGCTTTAGCGGGAGCCGATAGATCTGAAATGTTTATGTGCTGTAAATAGAAGGGTAAATCTTTTGAGTAAAATTAGAATGGTAATAATAAAATGGAAGGGATTGTAATGGAATGGGTTTTGTAACATCTATTAAGTCAGAACTGGTATGTTCCCAATCTGAAGGTAATTTTATGTTTGAACAGCATAAAATACATGTAGATCATTACGTCTACATTACACGTCTGTTCAGAGCTTCTGAGTGCATTGATTTGTAAGGCACTTGACATATTGCTATATCACGGTGTACAGTCCTAAAGGAAAACTGAGAGTGGAAAATTTGAGATTAGTGTGATTTATGCAATCTTTAAGTATATTACTCAGGCAGGAATTTTTTTTCCCTTAGACTACAAAAGAAAAATGATTTCAGGTAGCGTGTGTTGTACTTGTTTGATCCTATGTCAGCATCAATTGAGGCATGGGGGTGAGCAGGAGAGTGAAGAAGGCTGAGTAAGCTGAGGCACGTGGTAAGCCTGAGTCGTTTGAATCCTCCCTTTTTGTCACTTTTCTGTGAAGGTCCTGGCTTGTCCTGAGGGGTGGGAGAATCTGTGTAAGGTGAGGTGCACAGCCCTAGTGCTAGCTAACAGGCAGCCCATCCCTTTGCAAGCTGACTTATTTCACGTGCGTGGAGTTAGGAAGCCTGAATTACTCTTGTGAGCTCTCCTGAACACTAAACCCTTGCTGTATTGTCATCTGTGACTGTAGATATCCCATCACTGTTTTGTAACAAACACCAGTCCCTGCTTAAAAGTATGCTCCTGCTCTAAAATGCATTTACAAACAGGTAAATTACATTTACGTTTTCTCTCACCAAATTGCATATGAGGTGTATCTGCTCTTTCTGCCTTTCTGTCCTCCTGTGGGATGTTAGTGAACTCTCTTGTCTTATGTGCTTAGTAAGGAAGGGCAGTTGAAGTGTTGGGTAATCAGCTTGCTTTCACCTGAGTGTAGTACTGTTGAAATAAAGCGCAGAAACCATCAATACTATTCTTAGTTTTCCATTTATTATAACTACCATGTTAGCAGGGATAGGAGCAGGGGAAAGGATCATAGTAGTTTCTTTTCCACCTGTAATTACAGAATAAAATATATTTTATGTAAAAATGAGTATGTTTGTTTTCAAAGTAATAGGTGCTAATTGCAGTAGCTTGTACAGCTCTAAAATATGACTATCCGCAGATGCTGCCTCTGTTTTGTACTCAAGGCGATATTTGTGTGCATGCTTGATGTGTTAGTTTTGTGACTGGTTTTGTGTACGCTTAATTTTATGGTTGAAATATTTTTGCATGGTGCAGTCCAAAATGTTTCACACTTGCAGTTGTTCAGACCTTTTGAAAAGTAGGGATCTTGTGATACCTTTCCCAGAATATTTGTCAGTCTTAAATTTTCACATTTCATCTGGGATTTCCTGCTGGAAGATACCTAGCTTTTTAGCTTTAGGTGATATTTCCTAATCTGCCTAAGCCCTTCAGTGATTTAATGATTAACTAGAAGATAACAGTGGTGCAGGTGAGATACAGTATATGTAAAGCTTGCTTTTGAAAAGCCACTTTCAATGAGCACAGTTGGTTCAAATAACAAATGATTAAGAAAGTGCCCTATTTTACCATTTTTTCCAACAACGATGTGAGAGAAACCCATGATGTTTATTTAAAGCAACAAATTTTTTAAGTTAGCAAAGTGATGATGATAACTTTACAACTTATTCTTTACAGCTTGTCATTTTAAAAGACAAAAGTAATTACCCACTTACTGAGAAACCAACAAGAAAGGCTGTTGATTTTAGTTAAGTGACTGCTGTTAGTAATCTCCTTTGCTCAGGGAAATATGACACAAATTTTACAACTAGACGTTTTGGAAGGACATATTCATTCTTGTTAATTTTTTTTAATCTTAACTTGTTCCAACATCTCCCTTGGCATTTCGGTTAGCACAGTTGTCATCTTTTAGGCAATTGTCTTGCCTAAATTAGGAAGTGTTTAAAAAAGCCCAACCAACTAACCAACAACAAAAAACACTAAACATTTTGATTAGCTCATTTTTAAACATCACTTATCACTTGAGTAATTGGGATTTAAGACTCCTGAAATTGTGCAATCGTTTTTTTCACTGCACATACTGCCCAGATAGTAGGTTTTGTTTAATACGATTACGCACCATTTAATTCAAGAGACCATTATTATAAACTTGGTGGGAATAACATGAAAAAGTTCCCGAGAAACTACTACTGTATTTTCTTTTTAATCAGTGACTTTTTTTGATGACAGCTGAAGAATCAAGGTAGGAAAAACATAATTTAACGTAATGTGGGTGTAGAGATAAGAATCCATGATTAGAAAATGTTCTGTAACTTCGGCTGAATAGCTAAAAAAGTCCCTGGTCATGGCTGGCTGAAGAGAGTATGGCTAAAACAACCTTTTTCTGGATTATTCAGAATGTGCCAAGGTCATGTTGTTTTTTGTTTGTAGTGTGTACTTACTCCTTTCTTGAATGTTGATTCAATTTCTAGTATATTTAGAGAAATACAAATATCCTAAATTTTTCTGTATCTGTCAAGTTCATGGATCAAGTAACCGAAAAGAAATCATGTAAATTTGTACGTTAGAGTTTCTAGAGGTATTCGGCATCGATTTCTCTTTTCCTTTCATGTTGAGCTCAGTCAAATGGTTTAGCAGGATGCTTACACAGATCTCTTGCATTTAAACCAGTGTTATCTAGGAATAACAAGTAATCTTCAGTACCTGAGGGATGTAGTTGGATTGAGTCATCTGAATTGATGAATATTCAAACAATATGATTTAAGAAGTGCTTCCAGGTGGGACCTTTCCAAAGCAATTTAATTTTTACAGTTGCTTTGATACACACAACATGTTAAATGCTTCAGTTCAAGCAGAAGCATTGTTAGATAATGCAGGAAGGATACCTAATCCATAAATACACCGTATGTAGTTCTGTATGTTCTCTTTAGATAATTCTGTATAGTCCCTATGCATAATTTATATAGAATATACAACAAAATGTAATATGTAGAGGGTTTTAGGGGGTTTTGCTTGTGTGTGTTTTTATATAGATAAGCACCATCTGTCCACACATGCCACTGTAAACAGAATTACAAAGTGGATGCATGCAGAAATCTGATGTGCATCTTTGTGTCTTCTCTTTTCACTGTTCAATCCACAAAATTTGTGAGAGTTAACACAAGTTACTTGTGCAGCAGTTGCTGTAAGGAAAATATATTTGGTTGATTTATTAAAATGCTAATCGGGGCAAACAAAGCGAAGAAGTTTTCTTAAGGGTAGGGCAGATGGTCTGGATCTTTTCTGCCAGTCTGATTTCAGTCTGCACGTGGGCATAAAAGAAAAAAAGCAGAGAATGAATACAGCTTTAAAAAGAATTCGTAACAGCTGCTTTATTAAGGTAAATACCTGATTTTCTGTCAGTAACTGCTTTCTGTAGCTTGTTTCCTCAGTTACTAAGACTGACAGAATATGGAATATTGGGACTTTGGAAAGCTGACAGTTAATTAGTTAACCTCCTTGCTTCTAAAAACATATACATAAGATAAACTGTGGTGAAAAATCCAAGACAGTTATTCTTCTAACATAACTAATTTGACATATTCTCAAGAAACTGTTTGTTAAATCTGCTGAAGGCATGCATGTAATTAGAAGGCGGCTTACATTTAAAATTTTGCCAGTACATGTAGCTGAGCTTTTATGAGAGCATTTGAGTAAATTTATATATAGAATATTTTTAAACCCAAATAAGCCAAACCGCTTCACAAACTGCATTGCTTCAACATCCTTTGAAAATACAGCCATTTCCTGAAATGCGTGTAGCCACTGCGGGAGCTGAAGTTGTTTATTTCTTTGAGATTAAATTTGGCTGCAATCTGTTCCAACACTTCACTGGAGAACCTTCACAGCCAGCAGGACTCTGAACTGCCTGGCGCTCACCTTGCCTTTCTCAGTCCAAGTATTAACATTTGGATGATGGACCAGCCTCTCCCTTTCAGTTATGAATTAAAAACTAGAGAGGATCAGGTGCCCGGTAGTCGGGCTGACTCACTAGGTAGTCAGGATGAACCACCCGCTCCCCAGCTGCTCCTTTGTGGCGGGGCTGGAGCCGGGTTTGCAACACAAAGGTGGCTGCGCTGAGCACCACCCCCAACTTCCTGCGTTGCTAAGAGTAAACAGGCTCAGTTTCAGCAGAAACAGAAATCTGAGGAAAGGTATAGTAGAATACACATCGGGTCTTATAGTAGCCAGGCAGGGGAAGCGTTTAGCAACCACATGTGTCCCTAAATGAATTGGTGTTCCCTGTGTTTTACGTTTGTGAAACCTCATCTCAACTTTGTGGCAGCACTTCTGAAGAGTGACTTCCAAACTGTGGTAATTCTCCTTTTGGGGCTTTCTTCTTGCATGGGCACAGCCTAGAGAGAACTTAACCCCAGTCAGAGAGCGCCAAAGTGGGTACGTAGTGGTAGGTGCATGGGGGAACTCCCTTCCTGTGCCCTTGGAATGAGGCACTGAATGTCTCTATCTTCATGTCACTGAATATATGTAGCTTAAGAGAAACTGTACATTGGGAACTGTGGGTTTGCTATCTGGAGAAATGGTGTGGAGCCCTCATGTGCCAGTGAGAAAAGAAGGAAAAACATTTTTATTTTGGTACAAAATCAGCAAGCGACACCAATACCTGTCCAGAGGTTGTCTTATCGCATCCCTTTCCCGGTACGCAGGGGACCACAGCCTTTCAGTGCAGTACGGGCTGAACAACCTTTGTGTTGTCACCTCCATGGCAAATATGATGTAGAGTGTGAAGTGTTTGCAGTGTGTTACAAGTCACTCTTCTGCTGTCTGCCTGGATTCCTACCCTTATTGGTAAGGCTTAGAAGTGTGCCCGTCACTAACAGCAGTGGACGAAGCAGTCTTCTTGTCAAACTATTCAATCAGTGCAGCGATGCTTTTCCATTTCACTTTAAATGTCTTATGATGGAGCTCCTGGGAATTATTTCAGAGCCTGATGCACCTGAGGATCACAAAGTGCTACATGATTATTCAGTTTAAATTCTTATTTGGCTTTCCCCTTTCATTTACCCGTCTTTCATGTGCCTAGCATTTCAGTTATTGTCAAACCTTTACCTATACAATCATTCTTCACAAATCTTAATTTTGTGGTTGTACTGTATATTGGTCTTTTGAGCACATGGCCTCCCTCACCTGCTCATAGACTGCAGCATTTAGAAGTGCACTGGGCTTACAGCTTGCTCAAGTTATTTGAGAAATACGTACTAATTTGATACACTGAGATAAGGTTTGTGCCTACCGTTTATCATCATCTAATTTGATTATGATGATATAAAGCAATGAAATAGAAAATGAGGGGGGATTATATTCATATTAATGTGTTCTGCTCCAATGGTCTTTCCCTGACCTGCGAGATTTTGTTTGTTTGTTTAGATCTGCTAGAGAAGTCTCGCGTTGTTAAGCAACCAAGAGGTGAAAGGAACTTTCACATTTTCTATCAGATACTGTCTGGTGCCTCGGAAGACTTCCTCTGTAAGTACCACCTTGTGCCATTTTCAGATATGAATCATCTTTATATTTAATGTGCTGTTCCGTGTACGTTGTCTTTTGTGGGAAATGTGATATTGATTCATTTTTCAAATTATCTGTGGTAGTGGCAATAATAATAATACTTGAAGTAAATACATGGTTTGGTATTACCCAGGTATCTGAGTCAGAATTGGCTTTGCCATGTATTATAAACAAAGAAGAAAGCCTATTCTTATTCAGAAGGCTTGTAATTAAGAGATCCTTAAAGAAAACTTAATCCTACTAATAATAACAGTTCTTGACAATACTGGTTCCTGGGATAAAAGAGCTGTTAACAAGAATGCTGTTACTGATGATATTTTTTGATTTATTAGGCAAACTGAAACTGGAGCGGGACTTCAGCAGGTACAACTACCTGGGCCTTGATTCTGCCAAAGTGAATGGAGTGGATGATGCTGCAAACTTCAGAACAGTTAGGGTAAGAAGTAACAGGGGTTGGGTGTAAACCGCAAAAGGGCTCAACAGTGATGCAGAGTTCTTACGCCCTCAATCTGGCCGTTCGCGCTGGGCTGGGAGGGCATCTTTTCTGAGTCATTTTCAGAGTGCTGCACACTTTTTGTGCAAGGGTATAGCGTGTTTGCACAGGGAAGCTTAACTACAACTAGAAAATACAAATAAACAAGTTTCTGGAGTATTCTAGTGGGAATACAAGAGACACACACAAAAAAAAAGCGGGGGGTGTGGGGGTGTGACAGGAAAACCCAGACCCCCTGACCAGATCATGGAAAAGGTTATATTGTGTAGTTGCTTATTGTGGCAGTGACTGAGCTTTGTGAATCAGGTAATGCTGACCAGGTCAAAAGAAAAACAGGGCTGGGATAGTTCTGAAGATGACTTACCATGATGGTTTTTGCTTGATTGTATGCAGGGAAAAGAAGAATACAGGACCTTGTTACCCAGTGTATGCAAATTTAGATTCTAAAAGTTCTTTGCTTTTAGAGCAACAGAATAGAATGAGAAGACAGCAGTACCTGTTCACTTCACTGTGAGAAACTGGGCTCAGTTATAAACTCAATTAAGTGGCTAAAAAAAAAAAAAAGTATTGCATTTTAGAAACCCATAAACTGAATGAATCCTAGAAGTGGACTGGGCTGACATGCCAGCTCGATTACCAGATCTCCTTTAACCTTTTTTTATTAAAAAATTTACTTACCTAAGCGTAGTAGTTACTTTTTTTTTTTGGTAGCAAAAGTGTTCGTAAAATGTTTCTAACATGCTAATACAGATAAATTGTGAGTTTTGTATAATCTGTTTAAATGTAGATTCTTTTATCTCATAATTTTATCTGTCCCTTTTACAGAATGCAATGCAGATTGTTGGTTTTATGGATCATGAAACACAGTCTGTTTTTGAAGTGGTGGCAGCTGTTCTGAAATTGGGAAATATTGAATTTAAGCCTGAATCTCGTGTGAATGGCTTAGATGAAAGTAAAATCAAAGATAAAAATGGTAAGATGAGATCAGTTATGGGAGGAAAAACACCAATTTGTCTGAAGTCATTATTAATTTTGTAGTTTTTGTAGACATACAATATCCTTACAGATTAATTAAACTAGATTGTTTCCAGAATACACGTGCAGGCAAATATGGGTTGAATTCTGTGCCATTTCAGTCACTCTGTTTGAAATTCCAAAAATGATTATTTTCTTTTTTCCCCACTTCATTAACACTTTCTTCTGAAATGTTAAATGGTGTGATGCATTTCTGTAACTGCTTGGTTATTCTGCAGTGCAGGCTTTTAGTTCTTTTGTAGCAAGGTATTTCAGTCTGTAATATCAGATTCATTTGGTCATGTTTTTGCAGTTGATATATTTTGAAAGTTAATTTATTTTCATTTGAAAGTTCTTCATCATGAAAAGCAGTCTGTGATAAATGGGAGAAAAGTTTCTTCACAAAAATAATTAAAGTGCTTTCAGAACTGTTAATTCTGTTTCCTCATGCTGGAGGAAACTTTGCTTGTGAGTTGAAGGAAACCTGTTGGGGAAAATACTGAACTACTTAAAAGCTAATAGTTTCGGGGAAGAAAAAGCAAACATATGAAAGGTTTCATTACACTTACACTGTCCTTTTTCATGCTAGAACTCAAGGAAATCTGCGAGTTGACGGGTATAGACCAGTCTGTATTGGAAAGAGCTTTCAGCTTCCGGACGGTTGAAGCCAAGCAAGAGAAAGTTTCAACAACACTAAATGTGGCTCAGGTAAAAGGAGGTCCTGATTTTAAATGAAGGAATTGTTTTAAATGGCGATTTATTCTACATGACTAAACCATAACTGCCCAAATAAAAACTACAGTAGCCTGTACTGAATAAAACCTCTGACTAGCATAAGTGTGTTTTTATTTCAGCAGTTTCTAAGTGTTCAAATATACTGGATGTTTTGTTTTTATGTGTGAATTACCTCAAAAAGATGAGGGATAGGAAAATGTTGCAGAGAATGAAAGAATGAAACTGTTCTGCACAAAATGCATGTTGAAAGTATTGTGGCAGACTGTTTTCATTTAGAGCAACTGGTGTAATTTCATGGGAGTTGTACGCCCCAGGCTGCTGAAAAACTTTTGCTGCCAGTTTATTTTTCTGTAATGCTGCAGAGCCAGTGTGATTGCCACCTGTGTCT